CTTTAGGTTGTGGTTTAGTATCAGAACATCCCGAAATCAATGATTCTATGAGATGCTGCCCCGTTAGGTTCTAGTGGATCATTAAAACACCCCGAACTTCGCAAATGTTCCTTTCTCGCTTTACTTCTGCGTGTTTTTCTTTTGTATTTGTATGAATGCCCTGTGCTGAAGTGGAAGAAGAACTGTTTGAAAGTTGATAGGAAGATTGGAATCGCAAAAAAAAACGAAAGAAATTCAGTGCTGTGTCTTTATAGTCTACGAAGTCAACATAGAAGTGCGGTGCTAAGCTAAGTTAAATTGTGCTCGCTGCGTCTTATCTCGTGAGTTGTGGCTTACATCGTAAAGTATGTGAGTTCTCGTGGATTTTGAGGCCCATACCTCTTTGCTCTACTTTGATTAACCCACCTCCTGGAACCTCTATTTTCTTTTCATTCCATTCATAATTTCTGTGTATCACCAGCTCAATTTTACTTCTACTGATTTGCCTTGTCATCACTATGTCGTTACGTATTGCTTCCCTCATTAGTGAATTCTCCGTCCAATATGGAAAAGCGGAGCGGCGCGGTCATGAGGTAGGAACAATGTTCATGCTGTAAGGCTATGGCACAAAAGCCCTTGAGCCGTGAGGGTAAAAGTGGCCCCGTTGGAATAATGGTTAGCGCATTGGCCCGGCAAGCGGGAGATACGGTTTCGAATCCCATCTGGGGTCTGGCAGTCGCCTAAGGTCCAACATTCTTATGGTAATGACCAACCTTCGCCCGGGTGATCATTAGGCAAACTGTCTTTAACTCCAGTGCTCCTCATCCTTTCAAACTATCTTTCTGCAACCCTGTTTACTTTCTTCGAAGTCCTGTTGCTTTGGCTAACTTTGTGAAGTAATATTCAGATTCCAAGATCTGACGGAAACAGCCCTTCTAAAACCGCTGCTGCTGCCATTTTGGCGAAGTTGAGTAATCCTGGAGCGAAACTAAACAGGCGTGAGCGGAGGGCTCTTCAAAGGGACTTAGAAGTAGCTCAGGTCCAAATTTTCATTGTCTACAGCTCCTGCTTTATTTAAAGACTTATGGTACGATCACACATAATTTGGATGTGCGTGACTATCAGCACCCCAGCTGTCGAAGCGTAGCGGTCTCACCGTCTTAACATGGAAGGGAGATACAGGACCGCGAAACACGCTAATTCCTCCATGCTCTGCCCAGTGCCTTTTGTGGCGCAGACTCCCGTTCATGCTGACAGCCGTCCGGGGGCGTGTCGCGCGCAGCGTTCTTGGCACTTTGCGAAGTCCTGTAATTGCACTTTGGGATACAAGTAAAGCAGTAGTAAATAAATAAATAAACAAATAAAAAGCAATTTCCTGATGCGGATAACATTTGAGGTACTTCAAAATAAGAACCGAAGAGGATGACGAGGGCCAGAACTCAAGGGCAACTATGCTGCTACTGCAATATCTCTCAGAAGCCGCGCATTCCCACAAAACATGAAAATAGAAACGGCCTAAGCGTCCCAGTCGTATTTTTATGGATTTGGAGCCGGAATCGCGCCGAAAGGCAGAAATTTACACGCGATTTTAATTAATTTGCATTTCCTTAATTTTTTTCATTTTTGTTTTACATCTACATTCGTTGTTCTTCATTTCTAGCCCTTGTCATCTTCATCACCTTTTATTCGGACTTTGCAGCGTGAGCAACACCTCAGATGTCATCCGCATCGGAAATTGCGTTTCACTTGTAATCCAAAGCGCAATTACAGGATTTGGCAAATGCCAAGAGTGCTGCACGCGACACGCGCGCACACGACGGCTGTTAGCATGAACGGGAGTCAGCGCCGCAAAGGCATTGGGCGGAGCATTGAGTTTTAGCGTGTTTTGCGGTCATGTATCTTCCTTCCTGCGCATGTTAAGACGGTGAAACCGCTGAGCGGCTGGCACCAAACCCAAAATATTTGTGATCGTACCAAGTGTCTCCAAGTTAGACAACGTATAATCGCTATGTGTAAGAGCCATCATGATTTCTTTAAGGGTTTTCATAGATCTTATCTTGTACCGCAGCCGGCGCATGACGACAAGGCTACGAGACCAGAGAGTATGACGTTGGCTCAAAGTGGTAATGCTGAAATAAGACATGGAGTCCAAGGAAAAACCGAGGTGTTATTTTCAAGTTTACCGGCTGCTACCGTAATTACAGAGGAGCGAAAAATTTCAGCAGAGTTGGCCCGTGAGAACTGGTAGCAAGCGACCTGCGGTCGCAGGAGACATTCAAGGCTCATCACCGAAGTTGCCAATAGTTCAGGTAAGGTAGTCTCACTAAGTAGTACAAAACAGTGGTGTTGAACCGTTGGTCCAGAACCTAAGCGTTTCTTCGGAAAGAAACGCTCGGAAAGATTTTGATACATATCGAGTAGCGGTTGGGCGAAGACTGGCGGTTGCGCGAAACGGTTTTGATACGTATCGACGGCGGCTCGGCGAAGCGGTTAGACGAAAAACGCTATCCCGACCACCCTGACGTTTTTCTCTAGGACGGGGACGGGGCCTGCGTCTGCGGTCTAGTGCTTTTCGTTCGTCGAACAGGGCGGTTGGCGCTTCTCCGATCAATGAGTATTTCTTGTTTTTCGCCGAACTGCTGTTTCGATAGGGTCTCAGACTGTGAACAATGCCTTACCTTCTTCCACACATTTCAATGCCCTCCTAGAAATCTGGATGTTCTACGGGTCGACTCAGACTGGCGAGTGATCGAATGCAAATGATATCGGATTGAAAATGAAGCGTGACCCCTCTCCTTCCCTTGCGCTCCTTCCATTTTACCTCCGTTTTCGTTCTGGTGGGCTACTTTTTTCCGGTGTTCGGAGTGCTCTGAGAGCATTTTAGGAATTTTTCGATATAGCTCCGCCCACCTTGCCGCAGCTCCGCCCCCAGCGGGTGTGCCCCGCCCTTCTCAACTAATAACACCTCACTGATCTTAAAGTACTTTATCCCGGTGTCTGGAGTGCTCTGGAACCGTTTTGCGAATTTTTTTCGCTTTGGCTCCACCCGCTTCGGGGCACGCCCCGCCCGCAACGTATGCCCGCGCTTCTCAACTAACAACCCCTCACTGACCTTAAACTACTTTTTCCCGGTGCCTGGAGTGCTCTGGAACCGTTTTGCAAATTTTTTAAATTTGGCTCCAGCCGCCCGGGGCACGCCCCGCCAACAATAGGAGTGCCTCGCACACCCTTACATTTGATCACTTGGGGACCATAATTCACATTTTTGCTTTTTCTGCAATGCTTTAGGACCAAACTACCATTTTTATACTGTTCCTCGTGCTCAGGTGCACGCCCCGCCCACTGTAGGCGGGCCTCAGCACGCCGTAAACATGGTGGACTTTTGCCAGACGTAAAACTTCGTCATGGACTTTTCTGCGATCCCTAAACATTTTCGGGGACCGAGTTACCGACCTTTATGGGAAGCGCCGCCCATTTCGGGTGTCTCCTCCTCCATTTGGCGTGCCAACCCAGTGCTAACCTAATTCCACTTTTTCCAGTCTCCGAGCTGCATTGTAGCCAAGTATGATGATTTTTTAGTGACACGGGAAGCGCCGCCCATCTCAAGTACGCTCCGCCCATTTCGCGTATGTCTCCTCTGTTTGGTCATTCAGCCTTTGGTAACTTTGCTGCACTGTTTCCCATCTCGGGACTGCTCTGGAACTGAGTTATAACTTTTTTCAGATAAATCGCAAACTTTTGACGCACGCCCCGCCCACTGTGGGCGGGGCTTACCATGGGTCATGAGTGCTACTTAGGTTTTGTCCCATGCTCTATCCATCCTCACCCTGACCCGACCCCGCGAAGCTCTTCTTCAGGTGCTATGAATTTCGTGCACAACAGACAGATGCACGCACCACCCACACACGCACATAGCCGATTATATTAGTAGGATTTTTATTATATATCAGACATTTATTATTATACATTATTAGGTAGCATTCAGTACTGAGTGATGCAAAGAAACGATTTTTGAGTCAGGCAGGGGTAGAAGTCCGGCAGGCGGCGCAGGAGGCGTGCAATAAGTCTACCTACGGTGTTTCCTACCACTGGTTGTCTTTTTTATAAAGTGCTCACTGACCGAACTCACTATTGATGGAAAAGGAGATCAGAGGCGGGCTCATCCCGCCCATCCTGGCGCCTCCCCAACTAATGGCGACAGTATCAGGTATATTTACAATTGATAGACCTGACTAATTTGGGCTTTTGGTGTAGTGATATACTTTTCCGGTAATGTAAGGTCAAGGTCTGAGTCCTACCTGAAGTGGTGTTTTTTTAGAACTTGTTCTTGTGATGATTCCTCAGCTCTGATACCTGCGCTACTTTTCATTTTTATAACGGTAACTTTTATTTCAGACTATCGTGCAACCAGCCATCAAAAAATCAGTTTTTGAGTTCGAGAAAGTCTTGGTTCAACTTGAGAGGTGAGCGACGTCTAGTGCACTTACTGTAGCATTGCAATCCGGTTGAAAAATGGGGCCCCATGAAATTTTTGCGCCACACAAGGCACACTAATAATTCAAGGATCAGTTCCCCGATTGAATCCTGTTGAGATCCCCAGAAAGTTGAATGGGGCTAGGCTAGATATCATCTCTGCAAGCTACAGAAGCTACAGGAATGAAAGCAGAAAGCGTGGCGAGATAGCATCGTTGACCGATCCCTTCCGCTTTCATAGTCCCGTCGCGAATCTTCTTTGGACGTTGTCAAGAACATCGATATGAATACTCGTTGAATACGAGCGCAGAGATCACCTTATCGACGCATCCTTTCTACCGCTTTTACAAAGTGGCGGAACACGAGTGATGCTTCCTTTCCGCTTATTCGGCAATTGTGAGATGTGCTTTTAGACACTTCCGTTCTTATACTTATTCCCCGAGATCAGGTATGTATCCAGATGATGAGACCTCTCTCACCTGTGGGTTTCCTGCTAACTTAATGTACTTGGTCCAATTCAAAAATATGTTGTGAATATTTGTTGCAGGACCTCCAAGCCATTTGAAAGTTCTCGAGTGAATTATGCATGCAGATCAGTGCCGACAAACAATTTCCTAAAGCTCTGTAGATTTTCATCATCCGGTTGCTGCGTAGCAACGACCTCCGCAGACAACTCAGCGAGAATCTTCGAAGTAAATGGGGAGCAGGTGAACACATTTTTGCTCTCTTATGATGAAAAGTCGCAAGAGGATAAACGGAATTACTCTTGCAGAGGCTCTCCTTGCTGGCAAATATCCCACTTGGAGATCCGATCTACGATGCGACCTGGCTTCGTGGTGGATCCGATCACGAACTTCTAGCAGCTACCGCTAAGTATCACCCAGTTCATCTTTGGAGTAGCGATGGCACCCGATATGCTTCCTATAGGGGAATCAATCATTTGGTGGGAAAATTGGGCTTCTTACTGTCCCCTTTGTGAAAGAGTTTCTTCGTTTTCGGAACAAAAGAGATCGCTATTACTTTGACGGTTATGAGAAATACGGGTTTTCTTTCAGCCCTGAGCCCAAAAGAGTTGGAGCCGGGGCCAAAATACCCTAAATCATCGATGAAAACTTGTATACGGGGGTTATTTCACATCCTGACTACGAATACGTGTAACATTTATTCTTGGCGCCGGCGTTAACGTACGACAGTATGGTCATCTGCGCGTTGCTAAGACTGAGCCTGGCATGAGAGGAATCTTTGCTTTTTTCAGTTTCAGCCTCAGCAGAGGATAGTCAGTAGTGCCTGGTTCTCTTTATTTTCATTTTTTTCGTCCCTTTTGCGCTTCTTTTCGTTTGTATCCTCGTGTCAGGGGGGGGGTCGATTAAGTCCCTTATTTTGGGGGGGGGGGGAGGATCGTATTTAGCGGAAAATGATCACAACGCGATGGCGTGGAGGCTGGACTACATGCACAAGAAATTAAGACCATGTACTACTTAATCGCGGGAGCTGTCTTCAACTTTATTGCACTGTTCTCCCAACTCGTCACTGCTCTGGAACAGAGTTATGATTTTTCAGTGACATCGTCAACTTTCGCACGTTCCGCCCACTCTGGGCGGACTTGCCACGGGTAGGTGCTATTTACATTTCGTCCAGTGCCCTACCCATCCCCACTATGACCGGACCCTCGAAGTTCTTCGGGTGCCAATCCATGAATTTCGTGACACGCACAAACACACGTACACACACACACACACACACAGCCGATTATATGTATTAGGTTGTCCGGAAAGTTCTCAGCGTTTCATGTTACTATTTTTTGTACATTCATTGCTGATTAAAAACTCATTGCGTCTCAGTAGTACGTCCTGAAGAGACACTGTCTGCCGGTATAATTGTCGTTTCACCACTGCTTGATGAACTCCCTTTTCCCAAGACCTTTTGAAGCATGTGGTGTTGGAGAAAGCATCGTGCGACAATGGTTCGGCGAATTTCGCTCGGAGATCTCAGCCTTGAAGGTGAACCTCGCAGCGCTCGACCTAAAGCAATACCTGACGAGGATTTGACGGCGTTTGTGGAGGCTGAGCCAACATGAACAGTTTGAGAGATTGCAGAAAAGCTAGGCCTTGGCAAATACACTGTTGCGGATGGTCTGAAATGAATTGGGAAGGTGAAAAAAATTCAACAAGTTGGTGCCCCACAATTTGAGTGACCGGTAGAAATTGGCACTTCTAGAGGATTCTTCTTCACTGCTTTTGCGCAACAGAAACGACCCGTTCCTGGACCGAATTGTTACCTGTGATGAAAAGTGGATCATGTATGATAACAGCAGACGTTTCGGACAGTGGTTGGATGCCGACGACCCACCGAGCCAATTTCCAAAGCCGAATCCTCACGAAAAAAGATTATGGTCACAGTGTGGCGGTCATCGGCTGGTGTGATCCACTATAACTTTTTGTCACCAGGCCAAATCATCACAGCAGAGTCCTACTGTGATGAAATCGACGAAATGTACCTAAAATTGCGCCAGCTGCAGCCAGCACTTGTCAAGGGTCCGATTCTTTTGCATGAGAACGCCCGCCCACACGTTTCACAAATCACTATCCATAAATTGAACGAACTGTGGGTTGAAGTTCTACCTCGCCATACTCTCCAGACCTTTCAACAACCAACTATCACCTTTTCAAACATTTTCAGAGATTCCTTGCTGGAAAATACTTCATCAATCAGGACCAGGCAAAAAAAGCCTTTGTGAATTTCGTTGATTCTCGACCACCCAGTTTTTTCTTTGATGAGACTTGTCGACCGTCATCACATTGGCAAAAGTGTGCTGAATCGAACGGTGCTTATTTCGATTAAATCCGATGAGTATTAAGAAAGTTATGATTGCTTAAAGTGAAAGACTCAAAACGCTGAGAACTTTCCGGACAACCTAATAGTCGAATCGTATTATAAGGAATTATATTTACTTGTTCAAATGGAGCGAATACGGCTGTTTTGAATGCTATCGACTTGTTGGTTGGTGGAAGTTTAGCGTTCTCCTTCCATGTCAGATGGACGTGGTAGCCGTCTGCACGGTTTTCGATGATTTCCTTTAAGCGTTTTGCAACTTCTTCATTTGTGCGTTGCTTTTCAATATTTTCTGAACCAGTGTATTCGTTCGCTTCTGAGGACTCGAATCCTCAGTACTCATCGTATCTTTTTGAATCCAGAACAATTTCATCGAGATGCAGTACAGATATCGGCGATTCGAATCCCCTTTGACGTCCAGATATCATATACCCAAATTGGGTCGAAAAGAGAAAGAGTCCTAAGTGTAGTGTTTCCTTCTCTTGCTCCATAACATCCCAAAGGTAGGCACATCTTGGAAGTATCTGCTCTGGGCAATGCCTTTTATCCAGTTTGGTAGAAAGATGGATGCTTTTTGTTTGACTAGACAGTCTTCGTTTCTCAATGTGGCTGTCGCTGTATGGGTGGTTAATATGAGACTTCCGTGAAGATGAGAGGTGCATATTTCTTCACTTTTGTCTATTGTCTTGACTTCCACCTCTTTATATCGAATTTCGATGACTTCTTTTAGCCAATTTTTCTCAGGCGAAGTTGTGCCGCTTCTATTATCGGCCATTGTGTTTCTTCCACTAGGCTTCTGTCGATAAATGATGTTTCCGATCCCGTGTCTAGCAGAATTTAGACTTCTTTTGAGCCGTTTTCCCCCGGAATAGTGGCAGCTCCTATTATGTGCAGGGTTTCTGCTTTGTTGAGCTCTTCATGGCCCCTTCCTCTTTTCTCGTCTTTGAAATTTACTTTTTCGTCAAACCGTTCCTGAATGACGTTCTGGTGAGCTACTGGTATATTTAGTCGTTTTGTTTGACGGTGCATCCCTAGATTTTGGGGCTAGTTTCCCTTTCCGTTGCTGAAGTGCTGGTGGAGTCGGTCGTCGCAAAGCTACGCCTTTCTTGTGGATTGGAGGATTCCTCTGCTCAGTGGTAAGCACTCTACATAGCGATATATCATGTTTCTGTCCAGGAGCACGGAGGACCTCGACATGCCTCTGCAGTGTGATATGGCTTTCCGCAGTTGAAACATATTTTCTTCATAGTTAGAAAAGATGCATTTTCTGACTCTTTAACTGTGCCGCAGTCAGCTGATTGGTGACTGAATCGTTCACAATACAGGCAAATGAATCTACTGTCACGAATTGGTTGGCTGGGTCTTCTAGCAGAGCTTTCTTGAACTACGTAATTTTGGTACGCGTTTCTTTGGTATACTGCCTCCGTTGAAGTATACCGCCAAGTTCCTTTTGCACTTGCGCCCATGTTCAATCCCTTAGATTCTCCAAATCGGTTGGTTTTTCAGTGCACATGTTTGAATATCCGTATCGAACTTGCTGAAAATCGTATTGAGTAGCATTCGATGGTCAACGTTCTGGTCTTTTATGGCTAGCTGGCTCATTGTTGCTGATATTTTTCCTGCAGTTGGTTTAGGATTTGGTGGTTTCCCATTCTGCGTTGATTTAAGATTTCCGCAAAAAGCTCTCTGTCCATGTGTCGTTATCTCCATATTTCTTCACGAGCCAGAAAATAGCTTCCGAGATTTGTTCTGAGACATGGGATCTTAAGATCAGGGCTCGTGCCTCTTCTTCCAAATACTGCTACAAATAGTTGAATTTTAGTATAGAGCTGATATTCCGTTCTGTTGCGGAGAATATGGCCCGGAAGTTTTCCCAGTCAGCTCCCCGTCCTGAGAATTTGAGGATTTCCAACCTTGGCAGATATGCCGGCATTGTGTAAGCAACTAGTGGTATAGTCGTTGTGGAATGGTAAGACTGTTGAACCATATGGTTTCTGCCTTCGTTCCGTGTTTATTGGAGCATAACCAACTGAATATCGGCCATTCGTTTCCGCTTTCTTTCCCATGAGTTGCGCGCAAAACTGATCCGCTTTGCTTACAGTTACGACTGCCACTTCGCGGTACTGTTGAGAGACGGGATTCTGCTTGTTTCTTCGATTCTTCTAAATACACGACGCGGAGCTTATCCATATTTTCGTTGACACATTCCTTCCTCGCCACAATGTTCGCTCTTTTGGAATCGGTTGGCGTCATTATCGTCAAGGCGCCGATCTTCTCTTCACTACCTGAAATCGCAACTGGCGCAAGAAGCTCTTGCGACGTTACGATGGCTTCTTCCAATGCGATTCGAGCCAGTGTGAGACGAACTTTCGCTGTTTCACCATGGTTACTTACCAATGGATTGATGGGAGACGAGGTTACGGTATTAGGGAATAGCAACAAGCAAAAAGGCCAAATTCCTTATTGATTTTCCTGGCACCGGGATCCCGGCCGACGCACCATAACTTAGGAAGAGTCTATGTATGAAGACTGGTGAAGTCCCAACCTGTGTGACGTCGCTGGTTCAGTTACGTCTTCTTCCTCTCGTTTACCCGCTTCTGGGTTGCATGCCGAAGTCTTCTTGTTGGTGTCACACCACTCCAGTACATATAGAATAGAAAGTTGTCCGAGCTGTCGTTGTCTTCTTCCACAGAGCTTCTTTCGATTTTTCTTCTGCCCGATTTCACTGTGCACTGTAGAGCTACATACTGGTAATGGCAATTAGACAGGTAAAACGGCAGAGGTACCTTCGGACTGAACCTCCCACAATATAACACACTTTCTAACTGAAAGCCAATTGATGCCGTGAATCTACCAAGAATTGACACAACGAAAAACTGATCGCTGATAGGGTATACTATTATGTGATTGGATTGCGATGTTTTGCACCCGAGGGTATCTGAGGTGATTTCATAGGATCGGTGTACTGCCGTATAGCTACCGTATCCTATGATGATTCAGACCCATCGTAGTGAGCCGTGCAAATACCTCGTTGATTGAGATGGTTCTGAATCACTTGTTTAAGGCTATATGGCAATAAGTGTGGGAAAAATACATGCGATTAATTGAGTACACATTATTACATATTTACAAGAGATCAACGTGCGGCGGCTAGCTTGCTAGTGCAGGTCCTTTCCCGCACATGAAGACATCGGATATCCCCGCAAGTCGTATTAGTCAAATCCCGCCGATACGCCTCTGGAATCGGAAGTGCAGCCCATTTTGAAGGGTCGATTCTCTATGGGGAAGAGAGGTACCATCGGATGAAGTGAGAAGGGAAAGCTGTTTGATCTCTACCCCGTTCCTTTTTAAAGCAGTTTCAGTCAGGGATCATTATTCAGGACGAGCTAGATGCGGCTTATTCCATTGCGTTCTCGAATGATAATAAGCGATTGTACGGTGGCCACGATGCTTGCATTTGGATATGGGACACGGATCGGCCGGGACGACAGCACACCACCATAAAGACTTGGGGTAAGGATGATTTCCTTGTTGAAATTCAAGTAGGGAATGAAAGCTATATCAGAGCGGTTCAAGAGAGCACACTATGTTTCATGTCGTTTTTCATTCTGGTTGGACAAATACTACTTATTGAAAAATGTGAAAAATGTTGATGGGTAGGGATGGAAGTGTGGAGTTGGTAACATGGTGGGATTACAACTGATTGTTTGGGTCTCCCATGGGCTTAATACTGCGGAGAAGAGTCGCTTTGCTCATATGGTCGCGTCTGCACTTTGCGATATATGCGCATCCCGAAACGTGTGACAGTGGTCGACCGCTTTTCTTTGATCTATGATGGACATCTGGAGATAAGAAGTTTCTCCCGAGTGATCGGGTTGCATCGGTCCAGTTATAGGCCGATGGAACCGTCGGTGAGAGCAGTAGCATGCTCGGTCGCTCGCTCGATTTGAGAACTGTGAACACGCCTAAGCATCCATGCAATTAAACTTGCATCGCCCACTGATAAAGAACTGTAGTTATCAAAAAAAAACTTGAATCAAATAGCCTTCGCAAGCTTTTTCATGTAATATCTTGGAAAGAGTATAGTGGTCTATTGCAGAGAGACAAACTGGTGGTCAGAAATCCATAATTTCATGTATTGCAATGAATAAATCATTTGATGGAGTGTACGCGGTGGCAACCTACAGCGGCAGCGGTGAGCTCATACTCAATCTTCTTCTGTATTTTTCATGTTTATAACGCTAGGTCTCTTCCTGTTCGCAGGTGAGTACGAGAGCAGGCTGCCACGCAGAAAATAAAATATCACGCTCAAATTCTGCTCTCTCAAGCTTTCAAAACCACCTTTTATACACTAGTATTACAAGCAAACCATTTTGACTGTGAGATATTTGCTTTGTACAAGACAATACAGGGCAAATGAGCAGTGTCTATAAGTGCCGCCTTGTGCGACCAGGTGAAGTAGTGTTACGGTTGATGCAACAGTGTCCGTGAAATTGCGCATTCTTCCACATGTTTGAATATAGTGAAGGGAATAGTGTCGCGCGTGTTGGCAACCGTTAATCGTTCACGACTGGGATGATCTTGTCCTTCGAATCAAGCAACCACTCGCTTATGTTCAAGGACTGCTATCGAGGACGTCTACGGCTAATCGCTGAACCGCTGCAACGGCTTTCAAGTACATTCGGAATAAAAGACAAAAGTAGGCTGCAATGATTCCACTTTGGCTGACGCGCATTACTACGCGCATAGTCCAACATATTGATTACTGACAATATTTCTGTGCTCACATCTAACACTTTCCCTAATTTATATGTTCCGAAATGCGGCCCAGTCAAAGTTCTCTTCTTCGTGAACATTTGGCAAGGTCTGATGCTTATCACATTTCTTGAAACACACCATTTTCTGGAAGTAGGACAGTTCAGCGGTTAAAAGACGTTCGAAGGTAACAATATCGAGATCATAATGAATGTCTGTTGGTGGCTCCTATCATTCCTCACTGGCAGAAGACAACCTTAGGCTTCTACTTTTCGTCCAGACTCGAGAGTTTAGCGGTCGAATCAATTTCGACTACATCGCTAAGGCAGCATTCATACTTCGCGACAGCAGCGGCGATCGTGGCGATCGCGGCGATTGTCGGTAGGCAACAGAGCGTGCCCCAAGGCTACTACTTGGACCACTCGCTTTGATAAGTAAGGAAATTCAACTTGTAGGACCTTTCGTTCATAACAATGGCTACTAACTGAAAACTTCTGTACTCAAGATTATTTTGGAACGAGGACGGGAGTTTTTTTTGAGGTAGAGATGAGGGCAACTCCAATCCCTAGATGGGTTTCTTTTTGTTTCTTTGGTTTCACTGTTTTAATTTATATGGAAGTCTTAGAAGTTTCCTATTGGCTAGACTGTTCAAACTTTCAAAACTTTCAAAACAGTTATAGTTTGCAATCCGTGTTCAAACAACGAAAAAAAAACAGAAAGAAACCCATCCAGGAATCGGAACCCATTCCTTTATGCAGCGTCAAGAAGGAGGAAACTCTATAACCCCATGTATAAGCTTGAAGAGTGAGGAAAGAAAAGCAATAAGAAACTCACTCCTTGCTTCAGGACTGAATGAAGCTCTCACGCTTTTCGCTCATTTCTATCCTGAATCAAAAAGAAAATAGAAAAGGAGAGAAACATTAGGCCAATACCTTCTAATAGCACTCGGAGCGGTCGAAGTAATAGCATTGGGGCGCACCGTAGGGATAGAAAAATTTTGGCTGAATGAGCCTTTGTCCATTGATTGTTTGGCCACGGTGCTCGAGTTTGCTCGCAAGCAGAGTGAAGATGCGGACAGATACTGACTCTTATGAGCCCTTGTCAGACACTCGAAACTTATCTCCTGCCGTGTTCCCTTACCACCTCCAAAACACTTGCTGGAAGCAGTTCCCCAGTGTTGTTACAATGAGTTTTGACCGCTTCCTTCTTGAAGTGACCCCCTGTGGTGTCTTATCGGCCGTTATCACGTCCTGCCACTCACCGATAATGTTCCAATCCTGCCTCCTATTTTACTTCTTGGAACCAACGTCTCGTCGTTGCTATGGCCTGCGCGTCTTCCTTTCTCTTCCCTAAGTATCTTTCAAACATGGTGTCGGTCATCTTTCGAAATTTATTGCCGTAGACTATGGCTGTCCGTTGTACCAGTATTCCGCAGCATCCCCTTGATGTCCCGCTCATGACAAAATGCAACCTTCATTTTTTGCATATCTGTTTCAGACATCACTAGAGGGTTTTCCTCAGAGATCCAGTGTGGGCTATAAGCGCTGTTTACGTGAGGAACCCGGTTCTCGTGACTAAAATCTACGTCGCCAAAAACTTCCGGTGTGTACACCGAGCGGGGCACCCATGATCACTCGGTTCTCGTGGCGGGTCCATTTCTCATGGTTCCCATCGCAGGAACTTCTCCCGATTCGCGAGATTGCGGATAAAC